ACCACAACTGGAAACTTCAGAAGGAAGAATTATTAACTATTCAGTAAGTGTAGTCAGTTGTGTAGATCTTTTTCAGAAAGTGTTTTCAGAATTCTTATGGAAAAAGAAGGTGACATTATGATTCATAATAAATTAGACCTATTGGTCTGTTACAAATTAAAAAACTGTATAATGCAAAATATATAGCATCTTGGTACCATCTTAATACAGAACTGACAAAAAAAAATCAACTTATTTCCTTCATTCTCATTTCTCCACTGATATATTTATAAAAATTATATTTAAGCTGATCGATGTTTTCCTTTTTATACAGTATATTTCTATATATTCCTGTTTATATGGTAAACATTTAAGTACTTGTTAGGTATCAATGAGGTAAACAGATATACCTTTTTTTCTACTTCCTTGTTTTGATAGTATTAATGAAGATGCATTTATTAGATACCCAAACTGCTATCCTACACACAGTAAAGGAAAAAAAAGATGAAATATTTGGAAACAAAAATACATACAAATAATAGACATCAACAGAAACACAGCTTGTCATCAGAGATTGCATGTTCAAAATACACCATCCTAAATACAGTTATTGACATTCCAAGTATCAATCTTCTCCACATTCTTAATAGCACTGCAAACTGCACTTTCTCCATTGTCATGGAGCTGCAATTGTCAGGCATAGTGCTGCAGAGCATATCAGAGATGTCTTTTGACATGTTAGGTCTTTAGATCCTTTGCTCATACTTTCGCTTCCCTCTACTTTTTGCTGACCTTTGCTGACATGGCCTTTCTGGAAGCTTCTGTGCACCACTTCTCTGTTTTTCTTACACGTTAAACTTCTTCCTTTTGCAATCCCATTTTTCTCTGAGAAGTACCTGAGTGCTTTTATCATTGTTTTCTATTTTGTGATGCTCTTAATTCCCCTCCTGCATTCTCCCATTTTCATGCTCTTCTTTTGAGCCCTCCTGCTTTTAATCCATAATTTGCAGTATCACCCTTCTAAACCTCACATCTCTTTTCTGGTTGAATACTCCTTTTCCTTGGGGATAGAATTAGTTGCTCTAATTGTAAGGGCAGCTCTCCCTCTCAACAGAAAATTAAGAGGCTGATGCCTGTTGAGAGCAGAGACTATATGCTCATCAGATTATTTCTCCCTCAGTAGGAGAAGTCCTTCCTTCTCTTCCATGCTTCCTTACTTTTAAATTGTGGCAAAGATCTGGAGCTGTTAAATGTATAGAGATGAAGAATCTCTACACTAGGTAGAGACCTACCTTCTGCAGCCAGTCTGCTGGTAAGACAAACACTTAAGGTCATCAGACATCCTGGTCAATAACACTGCTCTGGAACCTCTCCATTCTTCAAAATTTTCACCACTCCTACCATGGCTGGAGTGCACAAAACCCTTCAATAATACTATAATTCTGAAGTAAGCTAACATACTTTTACCTGATTTATTTTGGTAAAAATAATACTCACTACACATCTCACTACACATAAGTAACATTTAACATCAGATTTGAAATGCTTATTAATAAATTAAATACCTGTCATATTGTATAAGCAGTTCCACAGCAGCCCTTTTTCCATGTAGGACTCAAAAGCAATGCCAAGAGATTTGGGTGATAAAGTGCAGTAAGACAATACTGTGAAGATTGTTTCAATCAGAGTAGGCTGTTTGTTATTTTCCTGTTCCAAAAGAGAACTTTGTTCATCACAATTTAATGCTTCACTTCCTTCAAAATAAACAAAAACATGGTTCCAATAATTTCTAAGTAATTCAAGGTCTCAGTAATAGATAGTATAAGCAAAACAAACTGCAAAATGTATCTGAATAATATTTCAAACAATAACACTTACAGATACTGAAATCTGACCTTTCTCTGCCTAATAACAGTTGACTGTCTTCCTGAATTATGTGTAGCCAATAAAAAAAGAGACTCAAGCATGTTTTCAAACTATGGAATATGCCTATTTAATTCAAAATTAAATTGAAATTGATTGTAATTGGAAATTGATTATTTACACTGAAGATTAATCAGAACTAAACTGCACAATCACAGTCAAAAAGCTATTACTGCTTAACTCCTCTTCCCTATATAATAGTCATATAAAATAATAAAATCCTATTTAGATATAAAAAAATATTAAAAGTAGCAGCTCCATATTCCCCAAAATGTGCTGGCTTTGTTTTTCAGTCTAAGATGAAATTCACAATAAAACAGTTCCACAAAACAAAATCTCAGCCCTGCTAAGATACAGATTTTAAAGACAAGTAGTGGTTATCATAGAGTTCAGTGATAATTTCTTACAAACATTTACAAATGTTTCTGATAATCATTATAACACAATCTCCCAGCTGAAGGATAAGGATGTGTCTAAAACACCAGGAATCAATGCAATGCAATGACTTTGACTTGAGCTAATGTTGAAGACCTGAGCTTCACATTTGTTTGTGAAATATGCTTCCAATGTTAACAACCATGAGAAACGCCCAGAGTCATAACCTATTAATACTCCAAATTTAAATTTCAGCTTGCACAAACAATGGTTTCTGTAAAAAGTATTTAGATAAAATTATACTGTAAAATGTCATTGCTTTCTGCCAGTTTGGTTGTCTTTACCTTTAGCAACCTATGGAAGAGAAAGGCCATAATGGAAAATCATTGCTTTCAACCCATCTTTGAATGATTTGAGAACTAAAAAATCTCATTTTACTTTCTTCTGAATTCCTACAACCTAATTCATATAATACTGTAAATCATTCAGTCTAGGTAGTATGCAACCTTAGAAACCTTAGAAGATGTAAAAGCTGAAAAACAGGATCAGTCATTTCATAACCCACAAACTGTGTTCTTTTTTTCCCAAGGTAGCAGACAGATCAGCAAGAAGACAGTTCTTTAATTAGCTTCTTTTTTCCTATGAGCTAAGTGAGCTGACACATATTGTTTTCAATAAGTGAAGAATCAAATTGATTCCACTTATTCACTCAAACCAGGGATATGTATGAAAAAGAAATAACCATCAAAGCAGAAAAAGAAGTTCAAATGGTGAGATGAAAATATGAAATGAACTCTGATTCTATTACTGTAAGTATTTAGTTTTTAAATTAATTTAACCAAATTCTAGAGAGAGGTTTGCTAACATTTCAAGTACTATGTAAACAGTCTCTGCAGTACATGATGGGAAATCAATTTGTTTAAAGGTGCTTATGACTTGAAATGAAGCCTAAATTTGTTTTATGACCATGTCGCATGGAAAGTTTGAGTCACAACTTACTAATAAATTTTGTAATCAATTAGTACTACCAACAGATTTAGATAAAGAGAAAAGAGCATAAAAGAATTTTGTAGAAACGGCTACCCATACACCTTGTTATAACTACTGTATAATGCAACTCTTGTATTTTTAAGCAAAGATCTTCACGAATCCACTATTAAATCATTCTGTGGCTAAATATAACAAGATATGTAATTATCCATCAGCTTTTTCTTGCTTTACCCTGAAGTAAATGTTGTCCTTGTTGTAGGAACAATCTGAAAGCTCAGGCTAAAATGAATTTTCTGATTGATAAGTGGGCATGGATCATAGAATCACAGAATCCTTTGGGTTAGAAGGGACCTTAAAAGATAATGTCATTTGAAAAGTTTAGCAAGCAGATCAGTATAGCTGGTTAAATATTATGAATTAGGCGTGTACAGAAAGATATGTGCATTTCTCTTGCCTTAGATTTTTTCTTTTACTTTTATTAGCTCACATGTCATAACATTAAATAATCATTTCAGTTTGAACTCCAATGCAGCCTTCTTGTTAATTATTACATAGAGCAGAATTTATATGATAGGTATTATACTTACTATCCTGTGATACTTTCCTCTATACATTTCTCTTTTTTTGCACTGACTGCATTTGCATAGCAAAAGCTAATTTGTGAAGGGAACCTAAAGCTCCCACAGGTAGCTCAAAGAAGATGCTTCTTTATTATTTAAGCAAGACTTAGCATTTATAATATGCTAAGCTGTTAGTTATTTCCATATAGCATGATGTTCTATGTGCACAAAAGATACCAAAATATATTAGAATACTGTTGTTTTTAATGAATATCTCTATAAGAAAATAATATATCTATTGAATAATAGCTGTGCCCTAACCATTCACAATAAATCATTCTTCCTATGACAAAATAATGCACTAAACCTCTTGGAATACTACCATGTATTTTAAAAACATAACTTCAGAAAGGCAGACTTACAAGTGCAATTTACCCATATTTCTTTCTTAGTGAAATAAATACCACCCAGTAATTTGCCAACATTATCACTCTTTCGGGCATATCTGTATCTGACTAGTCTAGCCATAAAATAAATCTTGCCTAATACTGACTCTAGACTTCACTCTCCCCAGTTCATCTATACACAACAAGTCAAGATACAGTTGGCCATCATGTATAGATACAAGATACAGTATTCTACCTTTTTTTGACCAAAAGAGGTAGACAAAACTCAAATTCATACATGCTGTTTCATTTAGAAAGAGGTATTGAAGATGGAACAAACTATTTCTGATACTGGTCTTTAATTTGCAAAGAGTATGAACCTTCTGCTTTCTTTATTGAATTTAAAGGTTTCTTAAAATCACAGTAACTGACAAGGATATAAAGAATGCAAAAAAGATATGCTTTATTTGTTTATAGGATCAAATCCTTCAGCAGGCACTCTGCAGTACACTACATCCGCAGTGCTTCTTCTGTCACTGACTTTTTTTCTGTTCCTTTACTGTAGCTGACCTGGTAGATAATTATACTTCTCTTTCAGAGCTGCTCTTCCCCAATGACAGCTAAAATCTATTGTAACTCTGAGCATGGCTTCATTTTGACAGAAAGTGTATTATTTTAGTTTTAAATTCTGAGGAGAAATTTTACATCATAGATTCATGGAAGAGTCACAGAATACTCTGAGTTGGAAAAGACTCACACAGGTCATCAAGTCCAACTCTTAAGGAATGGCCCGTATGGGGATTGAACCCACAACCTTGTTGCTAACAGCATCATGGTCTAACCAACTAAGCTAATCTCAGGGTCATATTACTCCTATCCTGAATAAAACCCAGATCTTAAACCTACCCATTTCAATTTAATACATTCCAAACAATAATAAGCCCTGTATTAGCTGCTACCTGTGAATCAAATAAATCCTAAATTTATGACAACTAAAAAGCTCAGCATGGCAAAAAAGCTGTAACAACACTTATATAATCTGCCCATAGACTATTAACATATCAGTAAACTACTTCTGTGGCTATATATTTATATGTGATCAGTGCCACAGCATTTTAATTTCATTCAACTCCATTTAGAATTTTTTTCTCCCTAAACAATTTATTTTCAACTATCTGAGAAGAAGCTTCCATTAATGAATTTCTGAGTTAGTGGCTTCTGTAGAATCTTCTTATCTATGCCCAACAGAAAAAAACCACTACAGTCAGAATACCTCCAGTATTGATTTTATGGGACAGTACGCAGAAAGTGTGACAGCCAAAATTTGAAAAGGCAATATTGAATGTAGTCCTACAGACACATTAGCTCCCTTGTGCTCCTCCATGTATTGAAATAGATACTGAACAGCTTACCTTCTTAAAACTTACTCAGTCTAGAGCTCTACTGTAACAAGAAGTTCCTATCAGAAATTACTAAGTCTTTGAAAAGCTATCCATATGACCTTATATAACAGAAACTGAATCTATCAGACATGTATCAGACACTTTGTCAAGAAAAGGTGAATGATTCACAGCAGGGGCCCACTATAGTTCAATTAGGAAAAGCTATTTAGGTTTTCAGAAATCCATAAAATCTGTTTACTGTTTTCTCTAGCTTATCACTGGAGAATCACCAAATGGAACAGGATACCTGTATTAAGGTCCCTTTTTTACTTATTTTCAGCTAGAAGTATATCACTTCAGTACATCCTTCATTAGTTGTGCAGGTACAGAATCCAATAAGCTTACTGGTCAGATGGACCGACCTTTTACTTTTTAAAGTAACCATCTAACCATTAGGCTACCATGACACAGACTGCTATCATGAAGAGGCTAAGAAAACTTTCAGAGGTACCCACAAGCCTTCTATTGGATGATCCACAAATACCTGGAGGAGAGATCTATCTCTGCACAAACATATAAATTACTCTAAGAGATTTACTTCTGCTCTCCTAACGAGGGCAGGGTGACAGATTAACATCCAAGTTTTCTGACCAAAACATACAAGACTATTTTTCCCCAAAATGGTGTGTGGTTGAGCCATGGGATGAGAACAATTGCTAGTATTTTCACTTGTCTGACAGATCATTACAGAGGATTATTAAAGGAGTCATTAGAAGAAAGTACAACAAAGTACAAGAAAGTATAATGGAAGTACAAGAAGAAAGAATGACCTCAAGAACTTGAAATAAAAGTGTCAAATTGTTGCAAATTTTAACAATGCTAGAGTTTTGATGGACTTGGTAATTTATGTAAGGCATGTACATTTTCTTCTGTAATAACTCACTACTGCCACTAACAGTTCAGTCTCCTAAATGAGGTCAATTGGTGAAGTTGTCACTTTTCACTGTTCTTCTAGGGTAATTTAAAAAAACCCAGTGGTATGTACTCTTATGTGTCTAACGTGTAATTAATTAAGTTTGATTAAAAATTAATTAGTACTTAAAATTTACCGTAAAATGACACATTATATATCATGGTAGCTCGAGAACTGTTTCAAAGAGGGAAAAGAATTGGAGTGGGGAAAAAAAATCTTCCAGCTCTGTAAGTACATTTCCAAGTTCTCTTTCCAGAAAATGGTTAATAAAAGAATGGTCTTAAGAAAACTCTTCATATCTACTAGTGTCTAGAAAGTTGTCTAATGGTGCACCACACAACTGTAATTTCTTGGTGGAAATCTTCCCTTCCCCACCCTGTTTACGTGTGCAAGGTAACTGATCTCTTTTTTAAGCAAAACACATTTATTTAGGTCCAATTTCAGATTTGCAGCCTGAGACTTATTACAGAATATTTGTAAATGTTACCATCAATTCTCATTTCAAAATTTTATTGGGGCCCAGAATATCATCTAGGTTGAGAGGTACAGACTAAACAAAATTATCTTCTAGCAGTGTATTGTGCAAGTCAAAAACATTAGGTGAAACTGCCAATGATTTGGTCCTGCTGTGAATGCAGTTTTCTTACAGTTTATCTCCACATGTCAATATTCACTTTAAGGTTGCGTGCAGAAAGACAAAATCAATTTCTGTAACAACTGGAGTCTCAAGTTTTTATGGTAATGAGTAAGATTCTTTTTAAGATTATAAAGCAACACGTCGCATTTTCTATTATTCGTCACCAACTTGATACTACTATTTCTTCTTAAACAAATGTATGAGTCTCAAGGACTGACTGAAGATCTGGAACGTGCCTTGCAGACAATTTCTCAGTGACAATTTCTTAGTGACCACTGTCTTATCTGCTATTCCTAAGTAGCCAGGTGTCTATTGTCTGACAGGGTCCCCTCTGGTATTAATCCTTTATTAAGCCAGCGCAATCGAATAAAGCTATTGCTGTTTGCTTTATTATGAAAAAAAGCCCTCCTGATTCCTAGAAATAATGATAATCAAATTAGAAGTCACAGACTGTTCCACTGGCATGCTGTATATCTAGAGCAAATCTAGCAGAAATACTCAGAATTCACTTTCATCCTTCATATTTTCATGTCAGCATCTGCTGGATTCAGCTACTTATTTTACACAGGCACCACTTCCTTTTTTCCTCTGTTATTTGTTGCTTGTCAAAATAATCCATTTCTACTTCACATCCAGGAACGATAAGGCAATATTGGTTAAAGGAAAATCTGCCAAGTAAATTGCAAAATAGTTTATTTTGTCACAGAATTAACACAGTACCAGCTACCTTCACTACTTCTCTCTGCAAAGCCACAGCAGTGACTTTAGACCCTTTACTCACTCAAGAATATGTCTTGAAGAAAGGTGCTGGATGTTGGAACTACAGAAAAAACTCTAGGATTATATGGCACGGTAATTCAGCAAGCCTAGGTTAATTAGACTCATAGCTTGTTACAGAGGTCAAATATGCAAATCAAAATTTTCAACCATTTTTTCAAAGTTGCATGTATGCAGTAGCCATGCTCACTGAAGACATATAAATGATTCAGTTCTGGGTAACCTGATTTATTACCTTTAGTATTTTTTGATGCAGTAACTTCATATTTCCATATTTTAATTTTTATGTACATTTCATATATCATATTGCACGCAAAAATGACAAAAGTGTGCATTTTGTCATCTTCCCGTCCAGATAGTATATAATTATAGACATGGAATTTCAACAGCTTCAACAAATATGATATCCTTCTTTTATTTAGCAACATGAATCATGCATACATAGCTTCCCTATAAATACCCTTTCTACTGAAAAAATTTTGGCAATCCCAACAGTACTACCTACAATGATGGGGAACATACATTTCTTCTGAACCTCCCCATGGTACAACCATGAGAACAATGTGACTACAATGAAATATAATGTGTTTGAATAATGTCTACTTCGAGTATCCCAAAGTGTTAAAACAATACAGAAAAATTCATCAATACCTAAGATTTTTTTTCCTTCTGGCCTGTTCTTAAAAGGAGAAGGAAAGACTGAATGTAAAAAATGTGAGAAAGCTTTTCCTTTTTAAAAAATTTGTACGTAATTAATATCAAGGAGTTTTGTTATTAATAGGGCAAATTGCTCAAAAACTATGGTATACTTAGCTATATAGGAGAAGGAATAAAGAATACAAATTTTTTGTCATTAGACAATTAACTCCATTGAAATTAATTTAGATTATATAGATCATCATAGATACCAACTTTATTTAAACTGAAGGTTTATTCATTTCAATATTGAAGTTACATGAATGAAGCCTGTGTAAATAAAACATTTTGTAATTCAAAGTAACATGGATTTCCCTAGAGTTTAAGAGGTTGGTTAGTCAGTCATTCTGTCACTTATTACCTGTAATAATTTAAAGAGATAGTAAAACTAAATACTGGATAACACTAGGATAAGACTATGACCCCGGTCAAACATTTGGCAGCTTTTGTAGAAGATAACGTGTTTGAGTAGGCAAGCTCCAAGTAGCACTGCAGCTCTCAAAAGTATGTGTGACAGCAGTGGAAGACATTGTACTCCTGACAAGCATTAGACCATTTTAAAATGACAGAACTAAATCATGATAGAAAGACAGATAGATAGATAGATATAAACATAAATATAAATATATAAAATATTATGTGGACCTACTAGTTTTTTGATAAATAGGAAGAATTCATTTGCCAAAAAAATAAAGAAACCAAGACTCTCATATTCCTGCAAAATTAAGTCAAACAAGTGATTATACCATTAACAATATGATCATTTGATCTGCAAACTACTAATGGAAAGATGTGATAAAGTTTGTTGCTTCAAACACAATACCATCAGAATGCAAATAAAAATTTATTTATTTATGTAATTCGAGAATGCCTACAGTGACAAGCATATAATAACTTCAACAAAACATCTAAGAAGCTTTCCACGGTTCAAATGTAATTTTGAAAGTGGTCTTTTAGACTACTGATCCACACGTTTAAAAACTTGTGTACAGTAGCTGTGGTATCAAAGCTCTGTTAAATTCATTTTGACTCTTTTGCATTTATGATAGCAGCCTAGTTTATCTAATTGCAGTTTGCTTTGAAATCATTAATAAACTAGTTGAGTGTAAAGTCTCACAAAAAAAGTGATGATTTTTCTATATTTTACCCATTCAAGAAATGTTCTACTGGTAAGTAAACTGGTACCTAACCCTCAAGATGGTTGACAGCCTTCCTCCAGCATTTAAATAGCTAAAAATCAATTTGTGTTTCTCACTGATATTCCTATATGGATTGACAGTATCAATACTTACTTGAGCTTCTCAGCAAAATTTTCAGTAAGAGACAATCATGGTGTAGCAATGTTTCCAAAAGCAAGTTCAAATTACAGTATGGTTGGGATAAGAGCAGCTTCAGCA